GTTGAGGTCATATCCGATCAAACCGGAAGTACGGCAAATCAAGTAAATATGTCAAAAAATGTAAATGGAACTATAGTACACATCCTTCAAATTTCGTTTTTCTATCTCCAATAATAAAAAAGTTATAGGGATGAGCCACCGTAGAGAATCACCCGGTATATAGTATGTTCAAATAATGCTCGTTTAACGGAATATGAAGTCAACAAGTTGGCTCAGAAACGAAATATAATATATCATTCATGTGCCGCCTCATCATTGCAAACTTAGTCCCATTGAACACGTTTCGGCTCGAGTAAAAGGTTTCGTTGCAAGAAGAAACACGACATTTCGAATGAAAAAATATTGAAAGAAGAAGACAACGTGTGGAAATAAGACCATTTAGTTGAGGAAAGTGTAGAACCTTTGATCATAATACCGAATGAATCTGACGAAGATTCGTCAGATTCATCTGATGATAACACAACATAACTTTTGCTTGTATAGAGTCTTCCAACAGGGACTTCCGAACTTTGACAATTGATAACGGAGCTACATCTGTCAGATTGGTTGTCATTTATTTAGTATGTTTTTCCAAATCGCCAAGGGCGGATATGTCATTCAACAAAATATGAAAATAAAATTGTTTTATCAAAATGGGTATTCTGTTCGAGCAACGTACCGTGCGCTTCATCCATTTTACGGTCACCATAATCGTCTTACCGAAAGGACTATTCACAATGTGGTGGATGAATTCGAGTCCACTAGTTCGGTAAACGATCGACCAACACCCGTAGGTTGACGAAACGCAAGATCTGCCGAAATCATCGCCTCTGTCTGTAGGTGATTCGATAAGCAACCCGATCCTGATTTGACACCGATCACTCATAATCGTGCATACAGAATGGAAACAACTAATCTACTGCACACTGGAGCGATCGCGATACTACACCGATAATTATCGGAGTCGCGTCGGTGAAGGGGACACAGCTACCGGGTCGCTTGAGCGAAAGAAAGGCGCAATATCGTTCAACACGATCATGTCGGGTCAGCAAGAAGAGGTGCAATCCTTTATTTCCTAGTAACTATTTGAGCCCATTCTATAAAACTCTCTAAATTTCTGTTCATGATGAGAGAGCTCACGAGAAACCACTGCCGAACTGTATTTAATATTAAACATTATATAGGTGTCCCCAGTGTTTTCTAGATTCCCGTATCCTCGTTTGCGAATACCGGTAAGCAAATACAACGTCCTCCTCTGAGGAGCTCATGACGACTGATGAAAACAAGGAACTAAACGATAATAGACAACGATATGTATTCGATGAATGGGCCCCGGAGCCTAATTTTCATCAAAAATAATCTTCACCGATGAGGCCCATTTCTCAATGAATAAGTACGTAAACAAGCAAAATTATCGAATTTGGAACGATACCAATCCACATGAGATCCAAGAGCATCCAATGCATCCCGAGAAAGGCACTGTTGTGGATTTTGGGCTGGTGACGTCCTTGGTAGATATTTCTTGGCCAGGCCATCACTGTCAACTGCGAGCACTATAGGTCGATGATTGCCAACTACTTTTGGCCTGAAATAGATGATCTGAACACCAACGGCATGTGGTTTAAACAGGACGACGCTACGTGCCACACAGCTCATGCCGCATTGGATATTCTGCACGAGCGATTTAAGGACATGGTCATCTCACGTGAAGGATGTGAACTGGCCATCGATATCGTGCGATTTGACCCCGTTTGACCCAATTCACACAGAATGCATATCTGGCAGAGACGGGGCACGGGACCTTTTTCCCTTCCGCGTCTCTCCTATGTGAACAAATGGTCCAATATATCTGGCAGAGACGGGGCACGGACCTTTTTCCCTTCCGCGTCTATCCTATGTGAACAAATGGTCCAATATTCACAGAAGTGACGTGGCGCGGACGGCCGCCCCCGCCCGCCCTCGCCCCGTCTTTTCGCCGGCCTTGTGGCGTACAAGAAGGGGCACGCCAGTTCCTCGCCACGTCTTTCTCAGTGTCCATCTTCAAAAATGCGGAATGATGTTGACTCCAACATACAATTTTGCGAAGGAGTTGGTAAATATCCTTGTTTATTTGATTTTATTTGTGGTGATTATTGAAATAGGAGTGCCCAAGACCAGGCCTGCAGAAAATTGCTGATGAAATACACCAAATCCAACATATATTCATCATTTTCGTCACTGTTTGAAACGCTATGTTGTAGTCTACAAAACCAACGGGTTAGGTTAGGTTAGGTCCAAAGTGAGTGGGTCTATTCGACCTTCCGCCGCAACTCGCAAGGGTTTATTGTGGCTCACACTTATTCACACTCGACCAGATAAACCCAGCTTCTTAACGAAGCCGATTAGTTTGTATGGTGAGTGGTATTTCAGGTCAGATGGTAAAAGTACGGCTCTGCCGAACTCTAAAAACCTAATTCGGTCCCCAGCACATACTTTGTGCCTTCCCCAGGGAAGGCACAAAGTATGTGCTCTGCTTTTTCATCATTTTCCAAACAGATGCGATACACACTGTCTTCCGACAGTCCGAATCTCTGCATACGATGATTCAAATGACAGTGACCTGTTAAAAGGCATGTTAGACATCGTAGTTCATCCCTACTGTAGTTCAACGACTGTTTGGTATCAAGCTTCGCCTTGGAGTGAGCTAATCCTGGAAGATTCTTCCAGAAGTCCATAAATCTTCTGGCCATCCAGGTGTTCAATGTTTGTTTAGCAAAGCCTAAAGCGATGCCAATGACAGGTTCTGGTCTAATGAAGCTGCTTGCAGCACCCTCCTTTGCAAGGTAGTCAGCAGCCTCATTGCCTTCCAGACCAATATGGCCAGGAATTCAGACCAAAGACAATCTGTTGAGTCTTCCTATCGAAAAGAGTCGTTTTTGGCAATTTGCTACCAATTTAGGCGTCCGAGAATATTTTTATTGACTTGTATATAAGGTTGGATTCTTCCAATTTCTCCGCACACAATTCAATAGCGTAAATTTCCGCTTGAAATACAGTCGCATAGGTACCTAGGCAGGTTGATATATCTGTCCTGGGTCTGCGACTGAAAACACCCGCACCAGAACCGAAAGGTGTTTTTGATCCATCTGTGAATCAACAACTATCTGCTCTTAATATTTCCTTCTCCCGGGGGATCCAGTCCTCTCTACTCGGGAACAGTATGTAAGGCATCTCGTAGTTGACAGTTGGAGGCATGAAGTCAGAGGTCATTTCCAGAATGCTGTGACTTCCAGTGTCAATCAACTGTATGTTGCACTTTGCATTAAATTGATTTGTGCATTTGGCAATGTGCACAAGTCTATATGAAGTCCATCTCGCCTCTCTCTCCAGAAAAATGTGGAGAGGAGGTAGGTCTAGCAGGATCTCCATGGCCGCTGACGGTGTGGTGCTGATGGCACCACTGATGGTCAGAGAAGCCTGTATCTGTAAGCCAGAGAGCTTCGCCTGGACCGTTTTCTGTAAAGCCTTCGGCCACCAGGCAATTACACCATAAGTGATCATTGGTCCGACAATCATCACATAAAAACAATAAATTTGTTTGGGACCTAAACCCAAAGTTTTACCACAAATCCTTCGACATGTCCATAGAGACAGTCTGGCTTTGTGTAAAACTTTTTCCAAGTGAGCGTTTTATCAAGGACAATGCCAAGAGATTTCACCTCCGTTCCAAATGGAATGCCTCATCATTGACTGACGTCCTTTCTTGCTACTGTCCCGCCCCTCTGTGTGCATTGCTCGTCCGTACCATGCCTAAGCCTCGTCTCTGCCAGACGTCTGTTATGTGAATTGGGTCTTAGACTTTTGCTTGTGGAGTTTTCTTAAGTTGCAGGTGTATGCGAATAAACCACAAATCACAGCGGTCCTCAAAAGCAACATACCCAATGCCGTCGGTAAAATTCAGCCTGACTTATGGTTTAGAGTCATGGAAAATTGACGTTTCCAATGCGCTTCACCCAGAGAAGCGGTGGCGGACATTTGAATGATATTATATCCCACACATAATGGCATCAATATGTCTTTCAAACGAAAAAACACACTTTGTTTCGTTCAAATTTGAAGATAAGACACGCTTAATGAAAGACTCCTCGCCTAATTTCTTTTCAAATAAGCATACCTATTTATTATAAAGCGAATATTTCAAATTGAAATTTTATAACAATAATAATTTTAAAGAAATAAATACACATGGTCGATAATTTAATTGAGTATTTTTCATTAAATAGACAAGCGCACGCCTCTGCAAATATAAAAAGACCCAAACAATCTTTGAATCTTTTGTTTGCGACCAGTTAGCCATTCAAAAATCATAAATCCGCTGTGGCAAATCATAACGAAATCACAAAGTATTATTTAAGCACTCTTTTATTGCGTTCTTAATGAGCAATAATTAACTTTTACTTCTACAGTATAATTTAAAACACGTCTGAAGATAATATTGCATAGTGAAGGTGTTGCAGTTTTTTAAAGTAGTGAAAAACCTAAAAGTAAATTTTATCAAATACGATTGTTGGGTTTTTTCCCCAAATATCGATCAATTCCATCCTTTCATTTCAAAAATTAAAAATGTATCTGTGATGGTAAGAATGAATAACCTTCGGTTATTCATTATTCGCAAAATGTTGAAAGTAACCAGTTATCCCACCATGATTTTTAATCTTTAAAAAGTTCGACTCGATTCGAACTTGACATTGATCAATTTTCGTGCTCGATCAAAAAACATCGAAAAGAGAGCGAATAACTTTTTATCCTACTAAACTGTTATGTATAATATTAGTTTATCGCCAAAAGAGAATTACACAATCTCGAATGCTCTTTGAACTCATGACTTGTCAAGTCTACTTCTTATTTCATCTCTCAAAATGATAATGAATCAATTGAGGAAATTATCTCGAGAGTAAACGAGAGTAAATTGTTCGGCAAACCCATTGTAGCCAAATTAATGTTAATTTCATTTCAAGACTTCAACATGCACTTGAACTTACTCTTTTTTTCGTTCATCTTTGTCTAGGGTATTAGATGCGTCCAATCCATTTACAATTTTTTTTTCACACTGTAGTTTTTCATTGACTGTTTTTGATATACTGGATAACTCTGTTTTTTCGTAGTTGCAGCAATCCATTTTTGAACAAAAAAGCAGTGGCACAAATACTCAGAAAAACTCGGACTGAACTACACTGAGGCTTTTTGAAAATAACGGAGAAATATTACGACTTGAGCAGTTTTTATAGTAGTTTGTGACATGGCGCGTAGAATTTATGATTCAAATATGTACAACCGTTCGACACGGAATCGGACACAGAAATGAAACAGAACAGATAACGAAGGAAGTACTGCCTCCTCATTTATATCTAAGCTCTTGAAAGCTTGTAATGATGGTGGGAAAAACTACAAATATAAATGGTGCATTTATATGTATACTTTTTTTCTTAAGTGAAGAATCAGCTTGCCTTTGATAAGCTCAACCTAACCACTTAGAAACGTTGTGATGAACGTCTCATCTACCTTCTGACGTGTATTTATTTATTTTATTTATTTATTAACTCGAGGACAATTAAGTAAAAGATGAAGTTTCTCCGGTTCATAATTCAAAAATTGGAAAGAACATACACAACATTTATATGTGAATGAGAAAAATTAAAGGTCTCAGACTTTAAAAATTTATTAATTTAATGACTGCTCAGTGCTGACGACAGAAGATAATAAACTCTTCGAATATATAAAAACATTTCTGTATCAGGAGTGATTTTAAGTTGGTTTTGAAAAGTGTTGTGGATGTTGCAGATTTGATGTCGGGTGGTAATATACAGGGTGGGGCACCGAAAACGAAACAGATCGAATATCTTCAAAACACATGTGTTCTGAAAAAAATGAAAAAACACTACGACTTTTAATCTTCCTATCATAACCTCAACTATCATACCTCTTCACCCACCCCTCGGTGACTATCACCCAAACAATTTGAAAGATAATTTCATATCTAAGGTGGCCTATCTAAGGTGGCAGAAAAAGCTATTGAATTTCAGATACTTAATTATATAAATCAATACCACCAATTCAGTCGGGATTTAGAAAGAGTTTCAGTTGCACTACTGCCTTACTGCACGTTGTGGATGATATCATTAGAGCCACTGATAGAGGAGTTATAACAATTTTGATTCTGCTGGAATTCACTAGAGCTTTTGATACCATCAATCATGAACTGTTGATGTCCATACTCCATTACATAGGATTCTCAAAGCAATCTATTACATTACTGTGGAATTACTTGACTGGAAGAAAACAAATGGTGCGTATTGATGGAATTCGCTCGGAATACCTTCATATTAAATCGGGTGTACCACAAGGTTCCATTCTAGGACCACTGCTTTTCAATATCTACACCTATCTCATCAGAAGCTTGAATCATTGTAACGTTCATCTGTACGCTGATGACACACAAATATATTACAGCTTTCCACCGCAGATGTTCAATGTTGCTATGCAACTGATGAACAATGAACTTTCCTCTTCTATCAAATCCGCTACTGACCATTGTCTTCTCATTAACCCGAATAAGTCGAATATTTTAACGTTTGGCCCGCCACAAAAGAGACAAATAATCGAGGAAATGGTTAGAATAAAAGTTATGGGTTCTCCACTTCATAACGTTGGAATGGTGAAAAACTTGGGGGTTCTTATGGACAACAGCCTAAGATTCGAAAACCACATCATGAAGCTTATTCAACGAGCATACGCCTCTATTAAACTGATATATGGGAGCAGACATTATCTCACTAGGAAGGTAAAAATAACTGTGTGCGAGACTCTTGTACTCTCTCACTTCAATTATGCAGATGTTCTATATAGTCCAAAATTGACTGATATATGTAAACGTAAAATTCAGGCTGTTCAGAATTCATGTTTATGTCTGATCTTTGGGGTGAGAAGAAGGTAAGCGATTTCGTACACCTTAAAACTAGCTGGGTGGCTAAACATGGAGAGTTTTGTGCATGCTAGCATTGTGCATGCTAATGTTTTGTTTCATAAAATAATAACAACGAAAAAACCGCCTTATTTATATAATAAAATAACATACAGAACTGATGTACACAACGTAAATATTAGGCATAAGCATGCCTTAACCCCACCCCAGTTCAGAACTGAGTTTTTCAAAAGATCGTTCACATATCAAATTTGCAAATTATATAATGCTTTACCGTATCAAATTAAATTCAATATAATTTCAAACATCAAAGACAGCATAAAAAATCATCTTCTCCTGCAATAGATTTTATGATTAGGACGGTAGTATAGATCACCCAAGTTTAATCAGTAGTTGCCCTTATTCTTTAATTAAATTTAACTTTACGTATATACAAATATTTTTTTTTTCGTTTAAACTTTTACTCTAAAAAGAGATATTCGAAGAGGTATTTCGAGGTTAAGTGGAAGAACATGTTACTTTTATTGCGATGAAAATTCGTCTTTTATTTTCCTGTAATAAAAAATGTCATTGTATAAAAACTGTTAACTACCTAATATTGGAAATAATAAAGACGAATTATTATTGTTATTATTTTATGGAATTCAGCCATGTCAATTTTAGCTACCTAACTTTCGATCTTGGCGCCTTCTTGCGGGAAAAAACTGTTCCGTATTCCAAATTATGATACTTCATTCGCAAGCTAATTTGACATAAATTCGGCGATAATGCATCATGGAGTTTTTCTACGGGAAAAAACAAGATGGCGACTTCACAATGGCGGACAAGATTTGCAATTATGGTCCGATTTGATTCAAAATTGATAAGTTTTCACGGTCGGAAATTATGAATTGTTTTTCAATGCACAAAATCAAGATGATGGCTCTTGGAATCCAAATTGAATGACGAGACAAAAGTGTGCTGTCGTCAGCAATGCAATATATTGGATTCTTGGTTTTTTCCAATAAGTCGTTGATATACAATAAAAAGAGGGTTGGAAAGAGGATTATGAATCAATCGATAAATAAACTGTAATCAAAACATTTTCTTTGGTTTTCATGGTTTTCATATGTGGAAATTATGTATTTTTTTCACAGGAATGAATAACGGATTCATTAATTTGTGAAATTTATGAATTACTTCGTCGCCATTATGGTATCGGTTTTTCCTAAATATTTTCAAAAATTATCAAAAAGGTCTTGAATAATAGGTTGATAGCTTATTTGAAGTCAATAAGTCATTTGTTTTCAGGTCAATATGGCTTTCAAAGTTCAAGTGATACCGAGTCTACAGTAATGGATGTTATTTCTAATGTTCAACAATAATTGGATAGAGATATGAAATGTGATCTATTATCTCTCGATTTGCGGTATTACAATTGTGTTTAGAAGGCTTCCTGTATTTACAGGCTTTACGAACTCCCACAATTTTTTATCTATTTTGTATATAATATGTATCAATGAAAGACAAAAGTTTCGCAAAGATCTTCAATTAATTGAAGATATTGGTTCATTTCAATAACGGAAAAACACATCATAGTAACAAAATTATGTTGAATGTCAATATTAAAAGTTGAAAGTTTCTAATGTCATAAACAATTGAAATCAAATTAACATTTATCGTACAATGACGTCCTTGGAGTATTAGCAATAAAAACAGCTAATCAGGAAACGATAAACAACTAATACAATGATTCAATTTCCTAACGAAATATTTATTATTATTTTATATTAAATATAAATTATATTTTTGAATGCGACTTTCAAATGATTTGCAGATTACTGAACACAATCAACACAAATACCACACAACTCTTGCAAAAATTACGATATATTATTCAATGACGGAGAAATATGTCCATTACTCATGAGAATGACATTTGCCAGAGGTGAAAATTCTGCCCGCCAACCTCCATACTTTAAACTATTGTTAACAATTTGGAGTTCACTTCGGTGTCACTTCGCGACATAGAATAATGTGTCGTCCCCGCAGGTCTTCAAATCAGTCGATAGGACTCGAGACAGACGACCGAGGAGGCCACACATTTCAGTCCTCACGTTTGACCAAAAACGTGTTCGAATGGACATTCCTAATGCTTTGTTGGCGCAGTTCAGGCGCAATAATTTATTATTATTATTTTTCCATCGTAGTTTGCGCTGGTCAGGCCCTATCCCTCGAAGCCCCGATACATTCGAGAGGGCGCGCTAGCATTATCAACCAATGACTACTCACCACACCGTGGGGTAAGTGATCATTGAGTCCGAGAATAATGTGCCCTGAGCAAGCGCAGTGAGCCAAAAATGACAGCCTTCTGCATCTGTCCGGCTAAGATTTCTGCCTTAGTGCGGCAAGCCGGTATGATTGTAAGATTCGAGAGTAGAGAGGGCATTATTCCACCAAGGACTTCAATAATCAGAACAACTATCTTGACAGAGTGATTCTCACCGAATATCCCTCGAACATTGATAAATAACTCATAATTTTATCACAACTTCCTCAAGCACGTTATTTTAGGTAACATCCCTCCGCCTTCGGCGTCAGGATGTTACCAAATAACGTGCTTTCGAAAACTGTGATAAAATTATTTCGTTAGTTAACAATGTCCTTGGGATATTATAGCTGAAAATGCCCTTGTAGAACGGAACTGCAGTAACGTTAGTTATAAATACAAGTGGTATAAAAACGTAGGAAGTTTTAATTCTCATTTTTCATCTACTTCCAACTGTTGCGAGCAGTTTCATCGGACCAGAACCTGTTATTGGCATCGCTTTAGGCTTTGCCAAACAAAGATTGTACATCTGAATGGCAAGAAGATTTATGGACGTCTGGCAGAATCTTCCAGGAATGGCTCACTCCATGGCGTTTTTTCACCCTTCGAAGCTTGATACCAAACAGTTGAGATGAACAGTTGTGTTGAGAAAGGTTCTCTTGCAATTTATTGAACGAAAACAAAATGGCGAGGATAACATATACAACAAATATGTTTATGGCGTTCTTTCTATCAGTAAAACAAAAAACTCAATGTAAGATTTGGTCACGTGAATATTCGGTCTTTAAATAATTGTTTTGGTGATTTCTAAGACTCTATCAATAATAACAAAATTTCAATAATTGGAGTTACGGAAACATGGCTCACTCCAGAATATCCAGATAAATTTGTTACTATACCTAACCTCAACTTGATACGTATGGACCGTGATGGTAGAGGTGGTGGAGTATGTTTTTCATCAAATAACTGTAAAAATACAGATTATACTACTCTTCTATTTCGGTAAATGATCTAGTGCTGCTATAGATTATAGTCAATATAAACAAACAAATAGTAGCCTGTGGAGTTGTTTGTCGACCAGCAGGAACAAATGTAG